CTTTCTGTCTTAGGATTTTTTATTTTAACTAAAACTCGACTTACAGTCAAAAGAAGAGCTAAAAACGCAGTGTTTTAACTTTGAATACCGATAATTCATAATCGCGGCCATATTTAAAAAATCCCTAAGACAGAAATCTGCGGAAATCGTTCCTCTTTCAAACAAGCCCTCAATGAGGTAATTTGAGCGATTTTTGGGAATGGTTAAAATACCATGGTTGCACGCGTGCTATGACACTTGGATATGGGGACCTGGATTTTTTTAACAGCGTCAACAAGAATTCTGACCTTCAAGGTCACCCGCGATGACGACAGTTGCTTCGTTACATGTTACATATCCACAATACAATCACGGCATAGATGTAATGTTTTGAAAACGGTTCATATTTGTGGAAAGGTGGATTTTTCCTGTTCCGTGGTTCCCAAGTAAAAAAGGGCTTGAAGTAGCCGGTTGTAGCGGCTTTACTGTAAATGACCGCGGGTAACCCCGGATCGAACGCCCGTTCTATTCGAATTCGGGGGATTCGATCTCCATAGTAGCGGAGTGGGACTTTTGGGCCCAAATCTGACCATCGTGCATGTACTTTTAGACTCAATTCCATTTACATGTTATACATTGTACTTATGTTCCTGCAGGGTTACAAGTTTGACCAACATGGCGACCAGAGCTGAATCTCACCTTAAGCAAGAGGAGGGAGAGAATGGGCGGAGAGAGCAGGGTTCTCCTCGTGCCTATAAGTGCGGCGAGTGTGGCAAGGAGTTTCGTTACCTAAGTTATCTGAAGCAGCACATGCGGACTCACACTGGTGAGAAACCTTACCGATGTGAGGAATGTAACAAATGCTTTAGTTTCCTGGGTAGTCTGAAGAGACACGAGCGGACTCACTCAGGTGAGAAATCGTACAGGTGTGAGGAATGTGGCAGGTGTTTTCTTCAGCTATGGGATCTAAAGAGGCACGTTCGAACTCACACTGGTGAGAAACCGTACAGGTGTAAAGAGTGCAGCAAGCAGTTCAGTGAGTTGGGTAATCTGAAGAGACACTTGCGGACCCACGCGGGCGAGAAACCCTACAGGTGTGAGGAGTGCAGCGGACAGTTCAGTGAGTTGGGTAGTCTGAAAGAGCACGTGCGGACTCACACTGGTGAAAAACCGTACAGATGTGAGGAGTGCGATCGGTCGTTTAGAACACTGTCAGGTCTAAAGAGACACAAGCGGACACACACTGGTGAGAAACCGTACAGGTGTGAGGATTGCGGCCGGCCGTTTAGTACAATTTCAAATCTAAAGATACATATGCGGACTCACACTGGTGAGAAACACTACAGATGTGAGGAGTGCAGCAAACAGTTTAGTCAGATGGCAAATCTAAAGAGACACATGCGAACTCACACTGGTGAGAAACCGTACAGATGTGAGAAGTGCAGTCGGCAGTTCAGTGACCTGGGTAATCTGAAGAGACACGTGCCGACTCACGGGTAAGAAACGTGAAAAATGTGACAGGCAGTTCAGCGAGTTGGGTTACCTGAAGGAAAACATTGGTGAGAAACCGCACAGTTGTAAGGAGGTGTGAGGAGCGCGGAAAGCAGTTTGGTAGACTGACAGATCTAAGGCGATACATGCACATCCGCACTGGTGAGAAACCATATTGGTGTGAGGAGTGCAGCATGTAGCTCAGTGTCAGTAAGGTGTCAGCTCTAACGACACACATGCGGACTCACAACCGCACACGTGTGAAAAATGCAACAAGGCTTTAGCCACTCATGTAGTCTGAGAGCTCACATGCAAACACATGCCCCTCAATTTGAAAACCTAACAGTGTCTGTGCAAAGGTTACTTGGTATGTAAAGGGTTAGTAGCACATTTTGTAGGGATTTGAACTTAGCTGGTCGTTTTAAATGTCAATTATGTTTAATAACACTGCGGTATTGTTTTACCAATGAATGTGACCACTTATTTCATGTTTTTCTTTGTTCTAAACGCGTATTTCTACCTGACTCCACCGTAAGATTAAGAATAACGCTTTATATTATCATCATTGCGTTATCCATAGCCTGTTGATTAGAACTAAAAGTAACTAAAAATGTGATTATGGAGTGATTAGACAATAGTTACACCGGACAATAGTTATCTAATTGATAACCCAAGTACATGTAGTTTTCCTGTTTTAGTAGCTGTAAATATACTAGAATCTTTAGCGTCTAGTTATAGTTCCAGCATGATAGTTATTAATGCATCGAAATGTTGTTTGTTTTCCAAGTGTTTTGTAAGCCACGTGTAGCTGTTATAGACTTGTCAACTTTTGCATCTCAGTTTCAAAAATAAAGCGCGTCATGTGCCTTATTTCTTATGCGCTCTACCCTTTTCCTAAGGACGTTGATTTCTCCTATGCAAATCAGCACACGTAACATGGTGCGTTCACCATCTTGATCAAGTTGTCCTGTTTTTCTAATAAATAAGGGTGTTGCCTGCTATTTAACTTATTTTAGATTTTTTATTTGTTTGGACTATAGAGGGTGAAAAGTTATTTTTTTCTACTCAATGGATTTTTTAATACTAGTATATTAATTTGAACACGTTAGCTTACAGCCTATAAGACATTTATTCTGAAATGGATGTTGTTCAGTCTTCAAGCATTTATCGACTCTAAATTTTAATTCTTGGTCAGACGCGCCAGACAAAATCTCTCCAAAGTCGTTGTTCAACCATCTGACATGTTTTGTATTGTGTGCAAAATAGGTTAGAGCTACAAGGCATTGATCGTATTCATGGTTGGTCGTCGACTTGATTGAGGAATTTACTAACAGCTTTAAAGCTAGGTGTTTGATACATTTTCAAACTCCTATAATGGCCATTTATGGACCTTTCGTTGAATAAGATTTAACAGTTTGCCGACACGCAACAGCCCCTATTGTATGCAGACAATCGTCTCTTTGATCTCAGTTTCAACAATAAAATGTGTTCCCTGTCCCCATGCTCGTTACCCTGTAGACCAGTGTGTAACATATATCTCGTAACTAGTCATCATCATCATATTCATGATAATCTGGCTATTTGAATCAGTATCAACCAGGTTTAACGCACAAACCCAACTATAAATTTCTGTAAACCAAAACCGATACATGTAACTGACATGTTTAGGTGCATTTGTCAGTACAATAAGGCACCATATAAATTTTGTGAGCCCTTTGAAGCTGATATATTTATTTAAAAGAAATATTTACATAAACAGACTTCACGTTTCTCTCAGATCCAGTGTTCTGTTAACTAGAGGTAGTTGTTAGATATTTGCCATTTTTTTCATCTCTGTTTCAACAATAAAGCGCGCTATGTGCCGTATTTATTGGTCACCATTGCTGTCATTTTTAAAAATTTCCATGTTCCCTGTCCCCATGCTCTTTACCATGTAGACCAGTGTGTAACATATATCTCGTAACTAGTCACCATCATCATTACGGCATCCCCTTTGCAAATATCTTCTTCCTTTTAAAAAGTCGCTGTTCAACCACCTGACGTGTTTTATATTGTGTGCAAAATAGATTACAGCTATAAGAAATTGATCGCATTCATGGTTGGTCGTCTTTATTGAGGAATTTACTAACAGCTTTAAAGCTAGGTGTTTGATACACTTTCAAATTACTATAATGGCCATTTCTGTACCTTTCATTGAATAAGATTTAACAGTTTGCCGACACGCAACAACCCCTATTGTATGCAGACAATCGTCTCTTTGATCTCAGTTTCAACAATGAAATAAAAAAACATAATATGCATGTTGTTGTCTTTATGATATTGTCTAACTGATTGTATCTTTATCTAATGATGTTGTCTAATTCCCTTATGCAAATCGGCACATGAAGATACTTTCCCTTTGTTTCGTTATCAAGTAAAACCCACCGGACCGGTTTAAAAATTTATCCAGCCACTCAGTCCCTATATAAACGCGTCCCTGACTGCTCTGTTTCTGTCAGTACTGACTCTGCAACCGTGAGGATCTGTGTCGTCGTGAAAACATCGTGCTGTACCTTGGAGCGTCTGTGCATCTCGGTAAGTGACGAATTTTCCAGTCTTTTCTTTATCCACGCGGCATCTATTTGAAGAACTTACTTTTCATTCTTGGCTTAAGGGTTAATGTCCCGCCCCGAGGTGAATATGGTGTGATAAAGCCTTGTCAGTTGCTATAACCACCGAATAAAGCCACCAAGTGAGCGCAGCGAACGAGGTGGCTTTATGAGGTGGTTATAGCAACTGACAAGGCTTTATCACACCATATTCACCGAGAAAGGGCGGGGCCATTAACACTATTATCATATAGCTTACACGATAGCCTATCCAAACTGATGCAGTGAAGAGTCACACAATGTACCCCTTGCACATGCTGAATAGAACACAGAATATCTGTTCCGTCTGAAGTCACCTGAGGTCACTGGGGGGTTCATGTTCTATGGCCTTCTATCTGGGTCACAGGCAGGGAACAGGTGTTCTTATGGGAGTCATTGGAACACAACTCAAGTTATTTTTGGATTTTTTAGAAGTAGAGCCGTGTTCTATTGGGTCACCTGAGGTCATATGCGGGTGATTATTCATTTTGTTTAATGTATGGATTTGGGATTGAATTAAATACCCGATTTTTGACTCTATTTGTGACATTACGGCGACATAAGAATGTGGAATGGAGCCTTTCTGATTGGTCAACGTCACCCGGCTATATGATTAATATTCAATACTAATCTATTTGAATCATTATCATCTCCGATAAACCCCAACTATAAATTTTCCTGTAAACCAAAACCGATACATGTAACTGACATTTTTTAGGTGTATTTATCAGTATGCAAGTTATACACCATATAAATTTCGTGAAAATCTGATATATTCATTTAAATGAAATATTGATTTTTTTCATTTCTGCAGGATCAGTAGTTTAACATGGCCGCCAGAGCTGCATCTCAATTTAATAAAGAGAAGGGAGAGAATGGACGTGGGGAGCAGGATGCTCCGCGTACCCACAAGTGTAGCGAGTGTGGCAAGGAGTTTCGTTACCCGAGTCATCTGAAGCAGCACATGCGGATTCACACAGGCGAGAAACCGTATCAATGTGGTGAATGTAGCAGGCGGTTTAGTGAGCTGGGTAGTCTGAAAAAACATATGCGGACTCACACTGGTGAGAAACCTTACAGGTGTGAAGAGTGTGGCAGAAAGTTCAGTGATCTGGGTAATCTAAAGACTCACATGCTGACTCACACAGGCGAGAAACCGTATTGGTGTGAGGGGTGCAGCAGGCAGTTCATAACACTGAGTAAACTAGGAAATACACATCCGGACTCACACTGGGGAGAAGCCGCACAAATGTGAGGAGTGTAGCCGGTCATTCAGTAACTTGTCAGATCTAAAGAAACACATACGGACTCACACTGGTGAAAAACCTTACAAGTGTGAAGAGTGCTGCAAGCAGTTCAGTAGGCTGAGTCATCTGAAGAGACACATGCGGACTCACACTGGGGAGAAGCCCTACAAATGCGAGGAGTGTGGCAATCAGTTTAGTGAGCTGGGTAGTCTGAAAAACACATGCGGACTCACACTGGTGAGAAACCTTACATTTGCAAAGAGTGCGGCAAGCAGTTTAGTCAACCGTCAAGTCTAAAGAGACACATGCAGACTCACACACGAGGAACCGTACACGTGTGATAAATACAACAAAAACTTCAGATGTGTGCACACTCAGACGGGCTAAAATTTGGTGTAAAACCCGTGTAGATATTATGTAGTGTTATATCATTATGTAGCAAGAAAGTTATTGTTGCAATGTTTGTATTCGATGAACGGGCCAGGTCATTTCAGAAGTCAGTTCCCTGTGTTATTCTTTTATTCTTTAATAATTTGAACTCTAATTTACTTTCTTTAGTTTTGTACTCTCTGTATAAATAAAGTGTAATACTAAGAATAACGCAATTTCTATCACGATCGTGATACTTTATTTACTGGTACTCTCTACATGACTCCATTGTAAAATTACCAATGCATGTTCCGTAGCCTGTTGATTAGAACTAGAAGTCCGTAGTTTTTAAAATGCGACTGTGCTTTTTTATACAACTGTGACGGAGTTTACATGGTAGGAGACCGTACATTTGACGCAAGGTCGTTAAGGGGCATTGTCCGTCTGTTATAGTACTTAACTAACTAGTTTTCTTTGTTTTGCTTTTTACTAACCACAGTATACTAAACTATTACGGTTTGATATTTAGAATTCGTTAGTGGCATACATGTTAGTTCTAAATTCACTAGAATGTTGGTAAATATTGTTTGTATATAAGTTTTCTATAAACTACATATGTAGCTGTTAGAGATTTGTCAACTTTCTGTGTCTCAGTTAAACCAATAAATCAGAACACGTAATGTGTTGTCTTCTTTTTTATCTTTTCTCTAAGGATGTTGTCTAATTTGTCATCACCATCATTACAGCATCTCTTTCGAAAATATCTTCTTTTTACTATAATTGTATAATAGACAATTGTTTAAGCTGATATACCAGACATAATTCGTTATATCCGACAAGGCGCCCGTAACTACATATCCCGGGTAATCAGGTGTTTGTCACCTTTAACCTTTGCCCTCGATTGGTTTGACCTATGCTGACGGCTGAACCGCCATTTTTGAGTCGTGCGTGTGGTGTCATTGTTCTCTCCAATCTGAGGCGATTTCCGCCTTACTTCGGCTCTGTATCAACTCTGGGCAGTTTCGAAAGACAGGTAAGACCTTTGTTGACCACCTACACTCGCTGTGCCGCGGTACCAGAGACTTCAAATCGGTCGTGAATCGCGTGATACGAGCAAATGTCCTTGATATAGAACAAGGACATTATACAGTACATTATATAGTATAATGTCCTTGATTAGAACAATAACTAGTGGGTAAAATGCAACTGGAGTATTTAGATATTTGTCAACTTTCTCAATCTCAGTTTCAACGATACATTCAAAAGAGGCAATATGTTGTTGTCTCTCAATCGCTATCATTAGTAGTGGCGTACATTATCAGTCATGTGAGATCATGTAAAATATGGCGGTCTCTTTTTACTACGAATTGATGTCTGATCAGTTTTCTAGTATGCAAATAAGCACGGTGCTTTCCTTTGTTGTGTAATCAACCCACCGGACCGGTTTTATCCACCCACTCTAGTATAAACGCATTCCTGACTGCTCTGTTTCTGTCAGTACTGACTCTGCAGCCGTGAGGATCTGTGCCGTCGTGAAAACATCGTGCACTTTGGAGCGTCCGTGCATATCGGTAAGTGTCGACTATGATTTGGTGTCCAGTATTTATTTGCTATGAGCACAGCCCTGTGGCGCATGGTGCATGGTGCATGCATTATATAATTGGTGTGGTGCATGTATATTGAATGATATTAGGTAAGTATGTTGGGGGTGTAATCTAGTGGAGTGACTTTATACGGTACTACGGCGGTGTATATTCGTATGGTATCCCATTTGTATGATATCCCGTGTTGTGATCAGATCAGATACATATTATGACATCTTTATATGAGTCCGCACTCTCAGATTCTAAATTCCATTAAATGTAT